AACAAAACTCAAAATCATTTGGAGGAAAAAAAAAAAAAGGTCGGGACCAGGTTTGCTGGTCTGATAGAGCGTGGTGGAACCACTGAGACTATGGCCCCTAGCTGCCCTTCAGGTCTGGAATTAAACCCACACCTGTGGTTTCCATCCAAACAAAAGACAGACATATGAGTTGAACATCTACCTCAAGTAGATACACTCCTTGGAGAGAACAATCATGGGAGAAAGAAGGACTGCTTATGCACAGGGAGACAGCTCAGCTCAGGGGGCAGGAGTGTCTGGAGGGATGGACACTGGAAAGAGGTAACTATGGGGAGGAAGTGGGAGGGGAGCTGTTGCATTGTGGTAAACTGTGGTCAATGACATGAGAACAACGTATATGTGAACTGCTGTATGGAAAGTGAATTTGCTCTATAAATCTTCACCCAAATCACAATAAAAAAATAAATAAATTAGATAGATAGATAGTGATAGACAGATAGATAGTGACAGGTTTATAGTATGAAAATACAGATTTAAACTGGCTCTGCCTCTGAATAGCTGTGATTTTAGTTGATTTCTTCATCTGTAAAGTATAGATAATGCTATATGCCCTAACTATTTAAGCTTGTTGTCAGTAATAGATGTGAAAACATTTGTTGCACAGTAAAATATGGTATACATTTTAATCATTTATTGTCAAATCAGTGCTCTTAAAGGAAAGAGTCTTCGGAGTTGGAAACACCCGAGTCTGAATCCAGCTTTAAGTGTACATTCATTTCTGAGCTTTAGTTTCCTCATGTCTCAAATAAAAATAGTATTTCTTACATCATTTGCAGTGTTGTAAAGAACTCTGGTGATGTAGTGGTTAAGGCATATGATTGCTAACCAAAAGGTTGGCAGTTTGAACCCACCAGCTGCTCCATGGCAGAAAGATGAGGCAGTCTGCTTCCATAAAGATTTGCAGCCTTGGAAACCCAGCAGGAATTGCTGTGAGTCAGAATTGACTTGATGGCAGTGCGTTTGGTTTTGAGCCTGAGAAGGATAAAATAAGTTTATCTGTAATGATCCATAGAAGCCAGGAACATTGAAGTACTGCACGCTATAAAGCTGGTACACATTAAGCATTCAATCAGTGGTGACTTTCATTAACGTTAATATGACTGCCTTAAGATTCTGTGTATTTGTTCTTGTTGTTGTTATGTGCTTGGAGTCAGACCCGACTCATAGCGACCCCTCCTTGGGTTTCCGAGGCAGTATCACTACAGAAGTAGATTGCCCAACCTTCCTTCTGAGGAGTGGCTGGTGGCCAGCCTTCTGGTTAGCAGTCAAGTGCCTTAGGCACTATGCTACCAGAGCTCCTAACAAATTGCCACATCTTTCTCCCTGAGAGCAACTGGCTGATGGGTTCGAGCTGCCAACCTTTCAGTTAGTTACCAAGTGCTTAACCATTGTGCCACTAGAGCATGTAAATACTGTGTGACAAATAATGTGACAAATCCTTATTGCAGATCCCATGTTAGATCTGGATATTCAAGAATTAGCCAGTCTTACTACTGGAAGAGGAGATTTGGAGAATTTTGAAAGACTGTTTTCAAAATTAAAAGAAATGAAAGGTAATCTGCTTCACTGTGTCTTAGCATGTTCTCTTATTGATGCTTGTTTCTTTTATGTAGTAAGATTTTATTTTATAATTACTAGATTGGATCTCATGCTCTGCTCTTAGCTGTCTGGCGAAATTTAGTTACTTGGGGGACTGTGCAATCCTTTGTTGGTAAAAATTCCCTGGAGAAAATTTTCTTTCTTCATCCTCTTTTCCTCCTCTTGCTGCTGTTTCTTTCAGTGTGTCTCATTAACACAGAATCAGTAAGATCCCTCCCAATTTACTCACATCATTACCATCTGGAAAATTTGGAAGACTTAAACTTCCTAATAGCTATAATGACTACACCATAAACATATGTCTTTGAAACCCATCTCCCATCTTCTAGTGTTAGAACATTCATACACTCCAGATTCTTCTGTGCTATTAGACGAATTTCTTAAGATATATTTTCCCCCTAGACAAGGCTGCGACGCTTCCTCACGAGCAAAGAAAGGTGCATGCAGAAAAGGTGAGACAATCAGTCAGGTATTTATTGAGTATCTGCCAAAGGTCCAGTGCTATTATAATTATATAGCTCATTTGTTTACTTCAGAAGGGTCTTAGTGTGAGCTTTTCATTAGCTATTAACAAATAACTGAATATTTATACAATAGTAATATAGTTGTTGCAGTCAAACCAGATTTTTCAAATGTATATTGAGTGACATGGAACTTTCATTTAGACTCGGGATGTTTGATTTTCTAACAGGGCAGAAAAACTCTAAATGATTTTTTTTTTTTTTTTAACCAGTGTAATACCTGTTCTTGGCAAGAAATACATGTGATATTTACTCCCTTATATGAATGTGTCATTATTTATCCATATCCCTTTTGAGCAGTTAGGCTATATACACTTTTTTGCTTCTATAAATAAGGAAAGAGCTCTGGCGGCATAGTGCCTAAGGCATTTATTTGACTGCTAACCAGAAGGCTGGCAGTTCAAACCACTAGCCACAGTCCTCAGAAGCAAGGTTGGGCAATCTACTTCCGTAGTGATACCACCTCAGAAACCCAAGGAGGGGTCGCTATGAATCGGATTTGACTCGATGGCAGTGAGTTTTTTAATTTTGTATAAATAAGGAGCTCTGGTGGTTCAGTGGTTAAAGTGCTCAACTGCTAACCGAGCAGTTGGCAGTTCAAACCCACCAGCTGCTCCATGGGAGAAAGGTGTGGCAGTCTGCTTCTGTAAAGATTATAGCCTTCGGGGCAGTTCTACTCTGTCCTTCAGGATTGTTGAGTCAGATGGGCATATCCTTACATACATTTTAGTGTACAGCTCTGATTCTGTCCGTAAGATAAATTCCTAGAAGTGGAAGTCCTGGGTCAACAAGTTTGAGAGCTGGAGGGCAAAGTGTAGAATTTTAAGTCTGTCTCTCAGTTCAAAGTACGGCATGTGGCAAGAGCCAAAATTTAACCATTGTATAAAAACTTGTCGCATGCTTCTCTCCACAGGTGGCCAAAGCATTTTGGATGGCAATTGGGGGAGACAGAGATGAAATTGAAGGCCTTTCATCTGATGAAGACAACTAAATTATTTATTCTGGGGTTTGACTAGCCACGATGCTCTAACTGCCTTTACAAGTTAAGAGGATACTTTCTTACTCAACCTAGTTATATTTTGCTGAAATTCCCATCATGGTGGCCACCTGACTTGTTTATAAGGCTCCTTCAGTTTTGATTTTTGTAGAAGTTTAAGGAGAAATCTTTTCTCCCTCAGTATATTATAAGGGAGTGATGAGAAGTATAATGACAATGAGGAATGAGAGTTTTTCAAGTATGCTTTTTGTTCTAGGAATGGGGGTGGAATGAGGCTCAGAAGTCTGTGTAATTTGTTCCAAGTTAAAGAAGGAGAAGAAGAAAATAGCCCGGCCATTTCTAGTCACCCTTATAAGTAGCATTTCCTGCATTCAGACTTGGTTATTGCAGATCTGGAGCGTGTGTCTCCTTCCCTGAGTGTTTTTCTGAGTGATTTTTCTGGTTACACTGTTCCTTACTGGTTTCAAGGCTCACGCTGCTCTGAGCGGTGATACTGTTGGTGGGAAGAAAGGAAGCAGGTACAGATTGACTTGCGCTACAGTATGGGTGGCGCCAAGGAGAGTAGCCCCTGGGCTAGTCTCTAAAGTATGCTTCTGGGCTTTTCATTTGAAAAGTTATTAGCTCATGATAGAAAGTATTGAAAAGCCATTGTGAATTTTTAGACTACAGTGAATGAGGTGAAGATTTCCTACTCTGGGAGTGATAAAACAAACTCTTCCACTGAGTTTTTGTATATAAGAGAGAGACAGAACCATAAGGAATTCCCATATGGACTCGAGAAATGGTATGTGATCGTAGACTGAGCTTTTTGGAAGCATTATTGTAAAGAAGCTCTTAGAGATCTTAGATTTTAGAGATCTCTCCTGCTACTTGAGGTGTTAGAGCTGTGTTGTCACACTTTATACCCTCAAAACAAGGCAAGTTTCTACCCTCTTTCTCTTAGAAAACCAGAGAACACTGTCAAAGTAGTGACGCTAAGGGCTGGGTGAAGTGGGAAGGATGTGAGACATGAGGCAGTAAATTCTGGAGCATCTGGTTTACTTCCAGGCCTCCTGGCTCCTCTGTGTTCTTTTAGAACTGCAGCTGCCAGGCAACACCTTTGTTCTTTATCCTTTGAGAGTGCAAGGTCATGTTGAGTGGGTCAGCCCCAGGGGAACTACTCATCAAAGGGAAAATTCCCAAAGGAAGGGTGGTAAGGACAACAAATTAAAATCGTTATTTCCGTTTTTGTAGATACTTTTTAAATGCATGGCATTAGTCTTCAGTGTGATGGTGAATGCCATGGCTCTAAACCAGCAGCAGAGCAGCGTGGATGGTGCCAGCATAGAGGGTGAGAACTGGTCCTGGGCTAGTGTGGGCTTCACACTGTGTGGAAGAAACAAACATAGGTTAAATCACAAGCAGAAACAAGTTTCATGCCCCCTCTGAGCATCGTCTTACAAGGCCTGCAAACCTGAAGTAGATGGCAGAGGAATGGAATGCTGCAATGCCTGGCCAGAGCTACCACAGGGAGGGAAAGTTCCAGTGACTGGAGCTTTCGGAAAGCAGCATTTCAGGGAACATTGGAAGCTGTCTTGCTTGGTGAACATTTTTTTTCTTCTTCTTCTTTTTAAATTGATCTTGTGATCCTTGAGACTATAGTTCATCACCATTGCATCAGTACTTCTTTGCAATGACTACATTAGCTATTTATTGGGGATGTAAGGAAGGTTGGTTCTGGGGTTGCAAAATGAAAAACAGAATATGCTTTTCTTAAAAATACAGAAGGTTTTAGAAAATATATTAGGCCATATGGTTAGGGAAACAGACTAGAAAAAGCTGTGAAATTGATTTTGTGGATTAAACAAGGCCAGGAGATTAAAATGTGATTTGTTTATAAAGTCTGCTAATGTGTATTGTTTTGATTTTGTTGTTTTTTTAGTGGGGGCTCTCAATGAGACTAGGCATAAATTCTGAACAGTTAAGAGTCTGTCAAACTCACTCTTTTGGAATCCACCATGTACATGTATATTATCAACTTGTTTTCTCAAGACCTCAGCTATGAGGAGATTGGCCACTTCTAGGGCACATGTGACATAAAGGAATGTGATGGTATCTCCTGGAGGCCCATGATAAGAAGAATGATCATGAACTCACACTGCAATAAGTGCAGTCTCTCTGAGCTGACCTATGTACATACCCCCACAAGTTATTATAGACCATCCAGCTGGGATTTAAAATAAGAGACTTGCCGTTTTTTCTTTAACATTTGTCTATTTGCTTAACACAGTGTCTGGCACATAGTAGGCCCTTACTGTTGGTTGGGCAGTATGGTTCATATTTGATGGTTTGATGAAATATGATCACAAAGTTTGAGGATTGTAAGTATCGGGAAGGAGGGGAAGATAAGAATAAACTTTTCATTTCTTCTGAGAAAATAATGTGTTATGTAATAATTTTAGAATGATGAAGACATAGATATTTTTGTAATTTTAAAATATGCTCTCCTGCCAGAGTATGAGAAGATTGACAGAACCAGTTTGTTTGCTCTCTATTTATAGAACTTGGCCACATCTGATTCAGAGAAGCTAGAGATTCAGGGAAGCTAGACTTAGATGGCTGAGTAATGTGGGATGTGATTCAAGGACTATAGAGCATGTCAGGCCATTCCTGCAAACTACTTAGAACACATAAAACGTGATACATGGTTCATTTCATATTCCCACTGTCAAGAGGTGTGGACATGCATTTTTGCCATGGTTTGTCAAAGTCCCATCACCTTGGGCCAAACTCTTGACAATAGCCATCCAGAGAGCACGTGGAATGCCCCCTTGGCCTGCCTTGGCCTGCCATGGGAAAACAGTCTTAAAAGAATCACTGTCTAAGGGTAAGATGAGAGCCCCATGAACTATTCTGAGCTGGAGTGTTTGCTGATGCAAAGCTAAATTTAGCAGACATGTGTCTAATGTGGTCAGGGGTTCTGATTCATTGAATGTTCTGATTGATGGAGACAGAGTTCCAGTGAATGCTCTCATGAGTTAGACTTGCCCACCACTCCCCCATCTCCAGATCTTTCAGACAGATAAGACAATTCTGCTACAGCACTTTATCATTAGATACCAAATCTCATTAGAGAACAGTAGATGCAGACAGTGTGAAAAGTCTGGTCACATGTACTGAACCTAGTACCACCCTAATACAGAGTCTGTTTGACACTACCACCCTAGCATTAACTTTCTCATCATTTGTTTGCCTCATAAAAATAGAATGCTGAATGTGCAGGGCAATATTCTAGTTTTTTGTTGTTTTTTTTTACATTGCACTCAGGGTTTTGTGTACGATTCATCCTTGCACCTCTGGTTTATAAGCTGTTGCAGACAACTCTTAGGGATTTTTTAAGTCTTCATATTTTGATCATTACCTGTGCCTGTTATTAACATCACAAGTTTTGGTCCTAATGTAGATATTTTACAATTATTCTCCTATATAAAGTATCTTGCTCCTTCCAAGTTACTTTCTGATTAGTGGAATGAAGAATTAACAAGAGGTAATAGCAGCAGTGTGGGCCTTTTGTTGGAGCACTGCTGAACTCCAGTCCAGCACTTAATGGTTTATGGTTCTCCTTGGTTTCCTTTTGGAAAAATATTGATGCAAAATGTGGCCCTAATGGTTATTACTGCATGTTTGGAACATAGGCTTAGGGGAAAAAAAGAAACCTATTTTCTTCTCAAACCCTTTTGTATCTGTGTATGACTGTTAATAGGCCCAAACCCACCCTCCCCACAACTACAAAACCTGGAGGCATACACTGGCTACATAAAGCCGTTCATACAGAGCTTACTGACCAGGAAGTCTCCCTTGCTTTTTCCTGTGGAAGGAGTAACCAATCATTGCCTCTACTCTTTCTCTTTTACCAACCAATTAGCTTTAATGCAATGGAGATGTGGGCTGTGTGAAGCCTGGGGTAGGAACTTTATGGAAAGGGCAGCATCATTTAGCAGAGAGATTCTGTCTAAAGCCCAAGGACTTGTTCTGTACTACACCAATCCGATCTCTCTAGGAAACTCTCTGAAGTTCTTAATTAAAGAGATGGTAAATTTAGAAGGCCTGGCGATCTACTGTGGGTGGGGAAAGCCATGGTAAATCCTGTGAGAGCACAGTTCTACTCTGGCACACTTGGAGTCTCCATAAATTGGAATTGGCTTGATGGCATCTGGTTTAAGGTTGTTGTTGTAAGATGCCATCGAGCTGGACCCGACTCATGGTGACCCCTCCTTGGGTTTCCTAGGCAGTATCACTACGGAAGTAGATTGCCCAATCTGAGGAGTGGCTGGTGGGTTTGAACTGCCAGCCTTCTGGTTAGCAGTCAAATGCCTCAGGCACTACGCTACCAGAGCTCCTGGTTTAAGGTGGTTGTTGTTGTTGTTATGTGCCGTCGAGTCGGTCCCGACTCATAGTGACCCCTCCTTGGGTTTCCGAGGCAGTATTCCTACGAAAGTAGGATTGCCCAACCTTCCTTCCGAGGAGTGGCTGGTGGGTTTGAAGGTTAGGAGGCTTCAAACATAGTTGAGAAAAGAAACTGTAACTTGTTCTTTCTACCTTGAGGAGAATTGAAACAAAGATTCAGGATTCAGCTAGCAGTGACAGTGAACATCTTGGTGCCAGACTTTGAGCTAAATGTGGAAGAGGATATAGACTTGAGTGAGGATGCAGTTTCCCTTTGCAGGAGCTCATAGCCCAGCTCAGCTGGGAGAAGGAGGTTAGCAAGACAAGGTCACAAAACATAAAATGCCAGGCAGAGTGGAAGAAATAGTAGGACCAGTCTTAATTGCTGTGGGACGGGGAGAGCACAGTGGACTGGGGAAAGCACAAAGTGCATCTTAGAACAGTGGTTCTCAAACGTGAGCACTCCTCGGAAACATCTGGAAACCCCCCCACACACACCCCACCCCAGTTTCTGATTCAGTGGGTCTAGGGTGGGGCCTCAGAGTTTGCATCTCTAACATCCAAGGCAT